TAATGCAGAAGATCTCATAAATAATTCCAGAACCAAAGAAGACTCAACCAACAGTCCCCAATGACTATAGACTTGTTACCATGACATCCCACATCATGAAAAGCCGAGAAACTTCTGTTGGTTCATCTCAACAAACAAACAAGCAGCAACCAAGACCCCCTGCAGTTTGCTTATCGCCGTGGAGTTAATGATGCCATCATACACCTTCTTCAACAAACCTACTTTAATTTAGACAGTGCAGCCAGCACTGTGCGAATCATGTTATTTGATTTATCCAGTGCATTTAAGATGATTCAGCCTGACTTACGCTGTTGTAAAATCTGTAAGACTCAGATAAAAGCATCAACAATCTTCTGGATCAATGACTACCTGACAAACAAACCACAGTTTGTATAAATAGCTTAGTTTTCACCTGGACAACAAACTTGACCGCAGACACAACTGTGACGCTGTGAAAAAGGGAAAGAGCAGACTATACTTCTTAAGAAGGATTGTGTCATTCAGTGTTTGCAATAAAATGCTACAGTACATCTCTTCTATAAATCTGTTGTGTAGAATGTGATCTGCCGGGTTAACAGCCTCAGAACAAACCTAACAACAGTGGTTTACTGACAACACTGTATATCATCTCAAAAAGACTGTTGAACATCAACAGAGTGTCTTCAGTCAGAGACTTGTCCAGATCAGTGCAAGACAGACCGCTACAGAAGATCCTTCCTGCTTACAGCTATCTACATCTACAATAACTCGATGAACAAAGGCAGATGAGTAACTTCAACATTTAATTTCCCTTGAGGATTAATGCAGTATTTTTGAATTTAATATAAATAATATATATATTGTGCAGAAAGTGTCATTCTACATCTCGATTCAGCATGCACATTTAACACACTTTCCTTTGTTATCTGTTGGGATGAAGAGATCAGAGGGGCAAGGTTAGCCTCATCTACATCACAGCCAAGAGAATTGTGTCAGCAGAAGAGTCTACAAGGGACCATTCTCATTTTCTTCTATCAAGATCTCAAGTGATGATGGCTAAGATGGAGGGAGCAGATCAGAAAACTGGGGAGAGTAGCAGAGCAAATAAGGAATAGAAGAGATTTAATGATTGCTTTGAAATTCACATGAGTCAACACTTGCTCAACATTGCTTGGTTATTGTAAGCATCTCAATAAGCATTTGTCATTTGCTTAATTACTACTTGAAATAAACGCATGGACCCACACAAGCAAACACTAAATAGAAATCACACAGGTGTAAACATGTACAGAAAACACTCAGATGCAACCTCATCCTGAAGATGAGCTCCTGTCACACCCACACTCAGATTAAGTATCTGAATCTGTGAGTCACACAAGGAGACTAAAACCCTGTTTATATATGCACAGCGCTGATGTATTCATTTAAGCATCTCCCACATTCTATTTCACAGTAATTTTTCCAACGAGTTTTGAAGGCACAAGTCTTTGGTTGAAATCCTCAGGATCTAAGATAAGACTTGAAAAGGAAAACACAAGTAATTTGATCAGGAAAAGGCCTGCAAATATGAAATTCAGGATTTAAGATAAGCTCCTGCTGCTGTGAAGAAGAAGTTTTAAATCCACAAATATGTTGCTCTTCAGATGAATTTTGAACATAGAAATAGTACTCAGCCATGTTCGGTCCTGTTATAGTAAATTTCACACCCTGAATCAAGAAGTTAAGGAATAAAAGGAGTAAAATCAGATTTGATTAATGTCACACTACACTTCTGGATTATAAATCTGAATTGTTCATACCCCTTAAAGACATTAGAAGCCATATAACTTTTTAAAGCACTAAGATAAATACCCCGACTAGTCAGAGTAAAAAATATCCCTAATGTTTTATGTGCGAACAAAGACCCATGAATCCCTTTCCCGCTGTCCACACGCGTTAAGCGACTCAGAAAGTGACCCGTGTTAAAATCGCCTCGGCTCTGATCAGCATTCTGAAGGAACAACAGACCTGGGTTGACATGACAGATAAAGAGACAGACAGATAAAAGAGCAAAACAATAAAGTACACTCACTACGCCCTGCCTTCCTTACATTCTTGCACTCCATTGTTTACTTCCCTGATTTCTGTCGCATTGGTGACATCATCAACTCTAACCCTACACCATGGTGTCACCAGATACGAAGCAGTGGGGGGACAGAGACCACGCAGCCAGCGGTGAGTTAGACCCAGCTTTTTTTGCCATTGGGAATGAGTTAGTGGGTCGACACATGTTTGAGAAACAGACGTTAAATCGCTATTTTTAGTGGGAAAGAAGCTATAGATTCTAAAATTGGAACTCCAAGAGGCTTTTAAAACCCCCAACAAGGGCCCTGACAAAACGCAAAAAAAAAAAAACTTCCAAAAAATTCCTAAAGAAAAAGTATCTATAATTAAGTAAGTAAATAAAAAAAACTACCAACCAAAAAAAAAGTATACCCACAAAAAAAGAAAATAAGAAAATATGAACCACAATAAAAAAACGCAAGTGGTAATTTTTATATTAAATTCAAAGCGTCTTATTCCACCTGCAAAGTATCAATTGAAGAAAGAAATGCACATATTCTAATAAAAATGGACTCACTTAGATTTGAATTTTTGAAGTGTCCCTCTGACTTGAAATTATGAACGGAGTATTGTTTTAAAATACAGAATTAACATTCATTAGTAGCACAGTGTGCCACTGCTCTTTTTTATGCTCAAATAATGACACAGATGTAATTTACAACAGTTTTAGTGCATTGCTCTTGTCCTTGACTCTCAATATTCATTGGAATAAATTGCCTTGTCTGGAACTATCAAATCTTTATATTAAAGTCACCTTAAATGTTCATTTCATAAAAACTGTCATTTTAAATATTACACATTCCACAGAACCCAATGAAACACACTTTAAATACAAAATATTGGAATTATGAACCATCCATCATCTGCTGTCCTTGGCCACAGTTAAACAGATACATGAACCATATGGTAAGTGACACTAAAGAAGAAAGCGGAACTGTGTGAGGGGGTCTTACAGCTTGGAAACACGTTTTCCCTCTGGGAAAGCCTTTGAGGCTGTTATTTACTCCTCTCATTAAAGAAAAAAAACATGCACTTTATGCCACCAACACATGTCATGCTTGCAGTAAAACATCAGATGCTTCTGGTAGGTTCTTGTGCAAAACTGCTGCACCAAACTCTATGCACCAGCAACAATAGCGAGCTAAAAAAAAACAAAAAAACTTGTACCTCCATGCTGTCAATATGATTAATTACAAATAACATTAAAATTATTATTAGCATAACAGCTTGAATGTAAACATATTTAAGGAAATTCTTAGATCATAACAGAATGGTTCATGTCCTACAGTAGGTAAGGCTTCCTCTATTCTGGCCCTTTAAGTTTGGTGTCCTGCTCATTTTAGTTGCATCTCTGCTTCCACAACCGTATCAAATTGCTGAATTACCTCCTCAGCATGTGATCAAGTTCTCCAGAGTCCTGCTAATGACCTGATTATTTGACTCAGGTGAGCTGAAGCAGAGTGATATCTAAAAGATGCAGGACACCAGGCCTCAAGCGCTGAAATTCAGGAACCGCATACTAGGTTATGGGTATGCAAACAGCAAGTCTGTTTATGTTTTTAGTCACCCTTTAGCCATTATAAGATATAAATAGTGAATCCTTTAAAGAACAACAAAAGTGAAAAAACGGTAAAAAAAAAAAAGGTTACTGGACGGGAAAAAATAAGAGGAAAAAATGCTTCAGTTGAACAAGATTCAGAACTTTCAGTCATTTTGAGGTATCTGTATAGTTTACTGAACCAACAATGGATTTGAAAACTAAGATTTGTATGATATCCTGCAGTGAGCCAAGAAAAACTGTGATAATTGTTTTTTTCCCCCAATTTATCGTGTTTACAGAATAAAGCTTTTAACAACACAACAGGAAAACATGACGAAACTTTAACAAATGACTTAAAATATCTACCGTATTTGGAGTCTGTTTCCGAGAAAATATTGAATGAAAGCAGAGAACAGCAAAGAGGTCAAATAATTCTGTTTCTACTGCGTTGCTGAGTGGCCCTAATCTCTGCAGTAAATGCATTGCAATTTTTAGCTTGCAGACCCTTATATTTTCCTTAGCCACCAGGTCACGGTTACAACAACAATGATAAATTATTTTATTTTTTTACATTTTTTGCATATTAACAGACTGTTGAAACATATTGTCCTTTAAACACAAGTAGCCCCTGACTTAAAAAGAGTTGCTGCAAACGACCAGCGTAGGAAAGTTTAACTACTGTTAATGTGAGTAAGACTTTCTGACGTGTAATACAGACTTTCTGGGGTGTTCTAGTTGAAATCTATGACTTGGAAGTGGAAAATTTCAACTTTGATGGCAAATTAATTGCACAAAATCAATTCTAATGTGAGAAAAGAGTTTTACTATGGTAACATATAAACAGTGCACAATAACAATGCAATGAGCCCTAAGGATGCTGTTTGGAGACCACTGCCAAGGGAGATTCAATGGCCACATAAGCAATAATAGGAGCTACCTGGAGTTGGGGAACTGATAGAAAAGGTCTCTCTGCTTTTAGTCAGGCATGTTTTTTGTTGTTTGACCTATGCGCTACACATGGGCTTTCAGCCTCAAACATTTGGCTGGATAAAAAGTGTACTGAGCCTAGTAAACATATGACCCTGAGCAAGGTTTTATGATTGATGTCCCAATATTCTGGCCTGGTTTGTGTCAGGCACAGAGATTTTACTTATTACCCTCTTGCAGACAGAGTCAGGGGAAAATGTCTGACAGACTTATTGAACCAAAACTATTTCTGAGCATAAACGGACACAGTTTGGGAAGTTGCCAGATGTGACCTAAATGGGTCCTATTCAGGGCCTCGATTGGGACTTTGGATTGAGAGAAATCTTTCCCAACCAAGTACTTTGTAACTTTTCAATTCAGCAAAAACTAAATACTCAGCTACTTAACTCACCGTGACTGTTGCAGCGCGAGGTCTCCACCAGCCGATTGTCTTGATCGTAACACACCATAGCCTGATAGCGGTAACCCTGTCCACACTCCTTGACGTCTCCCTGGACCTTCATCACTCCAGTGATCTCTGGCCTGCCTCCCTCTGGCAGGATGCAGTCAGACCACCTCCCTACTGGCTGGGCATTGTATTTATCGCAGGGACAGTACTGCGTCTCACTTAGAGGGTACATTTGTGTGTTTTTACACTTGTCCTTCTTTTTGCTTCTCCCTGAGGGTTGA